CTAAGATATCAATAATCCTTTCTCAGGTCTACATCTGCCGTGTGTCTACATTATACACATAAAGTTTGAAGCAAATTGGGTAAAAATAAGAGGGTGATTTCAAAGCCTTTAGGAAGTGACACACTTCCTGCTGCCAGTTGGTGGCGCTATAACTTTGACTCACAATAGTCACATCCATGTGATCGGACTCTTACAGCGAACACACTGCTGAAGTTTCATCAAGATCAGTTAATGTATGCAGAAGTTATAACACACTTCCTGTTTCCTTTATTCGCCATAAATTCGTTTCCTCGCCACGGCCAAACCGTTCGAGATATCAAAAATCCCCTGGCAACTTTTCATCCTCAATGTCTTGACTTCATGCTGACCGAGTTTCGTGGCGATTGGTTGAATTCTCTAGGAGGAGTATATCGAATTCCAGGGGCATACGCTTCCAAACAAACCATAATAGCCGACTTCCTGTTGGGCTGGGGTAAAAAGTAAAAGTACAAAGGATATATGAATCGATGAGATCTATATGTGTACCGAGTTTCATATTATTACATTCAAGCGTGTTTGATTTATGGACCAAGTTTTCGGACCCTGTTCCAGGGGGCGCTGTCGAGCCCCCCTGCCACGCCCGGGTACCAGCTTCAGCCCGGCCCTGATGGCCGCGGGTTCTGACCCGTGTGCAAAGTTTCAAGAGTTTTTGAGCATGTTAAGGGCCCCAAAAGTGCGCTGAGAGTCTCAAAAGTATCCAAAAAGAATATTAAAGTTTGATGCGTTGTCACGGCAACAGCATCTAAGATATCAACAATCCTTTCACAGGTCTACATCTGGCGTGTGTCTACATTATACACATCAAGTTTGAAGCAAATCGGGTAAAGCCTGTTTGATTTATGGACCAAGTTTTCGGACCCCGTTCCAGGGGGCGCTGTCGAGCCCCCCTGCCACGCCCGGGTACCAGCTTCAGCCCGGCCCTGATGGCCGCGGTTTCTGACCCGTGTGCAAAGTTTCAAGAGTTTTTGAGCATGTTAAGGGCCCCAAAAGTGCGCTAAGAATCTCAAAAGTATCCAAAAAGAATATTAAAGTTTGATGCGTTGTCACGGCAACAGCATCTAAGATATCAACAATCCTTTCACAGGTCTACATCTGGCTTGTGTCTACATTATACACATCAAGTTTGAAGCAAATAGGGTAAAGCGTGTTGGATATATGGACCAAATTGTCTGACCCGTTCAAGGGGGCGCTGTTGAGCCCCCCTGCCACGCCCAGGTACCAGCTTCAGCCTGGCCCTGATGGCCGCGGGTTTTGTCCCGTGTGCAAAGTTTCAAGAGTTTTCGAGCACGTTAAGAACCCCAAAAGTGCCCGAAAGCATAAAAAAGCATGAAAAAGCTTAAAAAAAGGAATATTAATGTTTGATGCATTGCCATGGCAACAGTATCTAAGATATCAATAATCCTTTCACAGGTCTACATCTGGCGTGTGTCTACATTATGCACATGAAGTTTGAAGCAAATCGGGTAAAAATAAGAGGGTGATTTAAAAGCATTTTGAAAGTGACACACTTCCTGCTGCCAGTTGGTGGCGCTATAACTTTGACTCACAATAGTCACATCCATGTGATCGGGCTCTTACAACGAACACACTGCTGAAGTTTCATCAAGATTAGTTAATGTATGCTGAAGTTATAACACACTTCCTGTTTCACGTTTCTCGCCATAATTTCGTTTACTCGCCACGGCCAAACCGTTCGAGATATCAAAAATCCCCTGGCAACTTTTCATCCTCAGTGTCTTGACTTCATGCTGACCGAGTTTCGTGCCGTGTGTTTGAATTCTCTAGGAGGAGTATTTCACATTCCATTGCATGTGTTTTCCAAACAACCCTTAATAGCCGACTTCCTGTTGGGCTGGGGTAAAAAGTAAGAGCATGAAGTATATATGAACCGATGAGATCTATATGTGTACTGAGTTTCATATTATTACATGCAAGCGTGTTTGATTTATGGACCAAGTGTTCAAACCCCGTTCCAGGGGGCGCTGTCGAGCCCCCCTGCCACGCCCGGGTACCAGCTTCAGCCCGGCCCTGATGGCCGCGGGTTCTGAGATGTGTGCAAAGTTTCAAGAGTTTTCGAGCACGTTAAGGCCCCCAAAAGTGCCCAAAAGGTAGTAAAATAATAATAATAATAATAAATAATAATCCTTAGGAAAACAATAGGGCCTTCGCCTTTTCAAGGCTTGGGCCCTAATAAATAATAATCCTTAGGAAAACAATAGGGGCCTTCGCCTTTTCAAGGCTTGGGCCCTAATAAATAATAATCCTTAGGAAAACAATAGGGCCTTCGCCTTTTCAAGGCTTGGGCCCTAATAATAATCCTTAGGAAAACAATAGGGCCTTCGCCTTTTCAAGGCTTGGGCCCTAATAATAAATAATCCTAAGGAAAACAATAGGGCCTTCGCCCTTTGGGCTTGGGCCCTAAAAATAATAATAACAATCCGAAATAAGTTCAAAGCTTGTGTTTTGGAAATAAGATTAATATATCACTAACCCTAACATGCAACTTTCCACTTTAATAACTTCCTAAACTAAAGTGTCACATTAAATCAGAAAAACAGGCAGACCCGGCGCCAGACACAAATTCACGGACGGGCATTCATTTTTTTCAGGGGGGCACAAATGAAAACAACCTCATTGCATCAACAGAATCGATTATGATACTATGCAATGATCGATAGAGCATAATAATTATATAATAGGCTACTGACGCTAAAGGTACGTTTACACACTGCCTCCGCAAATTTCGATTTAATTTTTTAAGTAGGTTTGAGAGGTGTTTTCAGGTCATCAGTGGGTGCTGTGAATTATTATTGAAAAAAAAATGGGCATGTTGTGTGGACCTCTGTCCCTAGGGGGGTTCATTCTCCCCCGCAAGAAAATTTTGTACATTTTAAGTTTAAATGCATCAATCTGGTGCACATTGAGAGCTCAAAATTAAGAGCTTCAACCGTCTTCGACCCATGAACTGTGCACATTGAACAAAGAAAAAGCATTGACTTGTACCTAAAGAGGGCTCAAACATCTTGTTAATTATAGTCTCAGTCTACATTACATCGTATTTTATATTAAGCTATAGAATAGAAAAATTACACTACTTTTGTCCTAATTTCTTCACTTGTAAGAAATAAACATTTGAGCTTTTATTTAGGAGAAAACACAAGATCACCATGCTGATCGTGTGAGCAAGAGCGCACTTTTCTTTAAATCACGCAGCACAAACAGAATGGCTAACGTTAGCCTACTTAATTAAAGTCGTGTGCTGTTTAGCCAAAAAAACGAAATATAATACCGAAAAAACTCGACATGTCAACAAAACATAAACATCTTCCCAAACACATATCAAGCTTATTTAAAAACCTCGAAAGCATAAACAGTCATTCAAAGTAATACAACGTATTACGTATTCAGAATACAAATTATGAGTAGGCTAACAGTAGTCTCCACAGAGCATAAAATATTCATTTCATTTTATTTTTCGTGTTCGCATTTATGAGGAAAAAACAATGTTAGGACGTGAGCGCTCTGAAAGCGGCACTAAAAGATGCTTTAAAACTTTCACAGAGACATCAAACAGAAAGCAAAACCTTTCTTTAAAGTGAATTTCGTTTTGTATTAATTGTATCTTAATTTTAATCAGTATTTCATCAACCAATTGCCTGGATGGATTTAATAAATAAGAAGTAAATATAGCAGACGATAATGACGAACCGGAGGCGCCAGCGCCTGAACTGGAGCTCGTCGCAATTGAACCGAAACTCGTGTAGGCGTATAAGGTAGCCCGCCTCACAGACATGTCTACTTTTAAACATAACAATTCAAAACGAAAGAAAACAGACTAGACTGCTCCCTGCTCATGTAATCCGTATGAAATGTGCATTTCTCTATGGCGTTTGAACGAAACGTTTGAATGAATGACTCTAAGACTCGCTTAATAAGACCGCTATCACATGCATTTCCACGCTCTCTATCGACAAACCAATCAATCCGTTTACAATTAGAAAAAAATCAGACCAAACACATTTTTATTTTTATTCAGGAGTTATGTATATTCAAAAGGATAACTTTTGATAACAGTAGCCTATTGATAAAAAAGATATTGTGCAAACAAGCAAGGACTGGTGGGACTTGAAGTGGAGTTGGTGAAGGGAGAGACTCGCTCAGGGCGGGCACTAGTGACTCACAGGGCGGGCCAGGCCCCCCAATGCCCGCCCATGGCGCCGGGACTGAAAACAGGTACTGCCACCTTTCCATTAGTGGATCTGGCAACACGGAGGCTGCACGCGCGCCCTCACTCACAGCGCGCTCTCAAGCCCCGTTCACTGCGCTAGCTTCTCGCAGCAACATGAATTGCAAACACTCATATGAGGTGGTTTCAACGGGTAATTAATCATTCAGAGAGCTTGACATTTTATTTTTTGAATGTAAAAAAATGACAGAGTTCCGGACCTCGGTCACCTCATAGCTGGCTACGGCCATGGACTAGTAACATATCGTTAGCATTGTTGTCATTGTCAGCGGGCATCACAAAAACGTTTGTTACCTTCTGCGATTTTGCTAAAAACGTTTTGCTTTCCTCCCGCTTCCTGGTTTTTCAGCACCGCTTGGGTAGCTTCGCTTAATTTTTTACTCTGTCTACTACTCTGTCTGTCACTCTGTACACCGTCTGTTAATCACTTCTTTTTCTCCGTCAGTTTTTTTGGCGCATTACAGCCTTGTCACTTTCGCACGCAGAAAGTGAGATAATGGAATAGTCCAATGTAGTGAGGTGGGGGCCCTCTCCTGTCTGCGACTAATGATTTGATGCCTTTTTTTCGCAAATGTTTTTTAGAAATATATAATTTGCGCAAAGGAAAAAAAAAAAAAAAACTTAAGCATAGTTTAATGGGGCATTTTGGTAGGTAGCTCGGGGCCCAAGGCAATCGCCGACCTTTGCCTAATGGTTAAGTCCGCCCCTGAAGAAGAGGCTCAGAACTCCTCAGTATATTTTATGACTTTGGTGATTGGAAAGCACAACTGAAATAATGACAAACTGGAAAAGGGTGGTTATCTTTCTATTCACATATTTCTGGGGTAAGTGGCATCATGAAATATATATATTAAATATGAAATAATATATTTTATATTCACTGTGTGTGTGAAAGTGTATAAGATTTTCATTTCATTCAATTTCATTAAAAAATAAACTTTTTTAAATTCTATTTTAGGCTGTGATTCTCTGGACAGTGTTGAACAGAAAACAAGAGCTCAAATTGCTTTTGAAGGTGAATCTGTAACAATCAACTGTACATATTCAACCACTGATTCATTTCCATATCTCTTCTGGTACCAGCAAGAAATAAACGGATTTCCTAAATATATGCTAAAGAAATTTCCTGGATCTGGTGAGATTGATGAACAGTTTAAAGAGAGATTTGATGCCAATCTCAACACCTCTACAACTTCAGTTCCACTGACAATCCAGGATGTGTGTGTGTCAGACTCTGCTGTGTAGTACTGTGCTCTGAGGCCCACTGTGACTCAAACACACTCAACACTCATACAAAAACCCTGCAGATAAGCCCTATTAAATATTCTTGGTTCGTCTTTGGACTAAGTCTAAAATTTTGGTAACACTTTACAATAACAGTACATGAATAATCATGTACTAATACCTGAATTAATAATTACTTTACTATGAACTAATGATGAGTTAAGACATGTACTAATTAGAACTAACCTTAACTACGACATGAGTCATATGAAATCCTGCATGAATATTCCATCTTAACTACACATTAGTACACGCTTGGTAATTAATGTATTAATTAACATATTCAGCTCTTCTAAATCAGATATCATTTGCTTTTCGGTGGTTTGTAAAGAAGTGGAAGAGCAGAGGTGCTGTGCCCGGATTTTGATGGAGAACGGTAGGAGGAAAATGGACACATTTTTTGTGGCCCAAAAGAAGAGCAAGAACACAAGACTAACATCCGACTGCATTATGATATAAAGACAGTAAACCAATCCATAAAATAACCACATAAATAACCATCATCTGTGCCAACACTGATTTTAATTTTGAAAATTGCATCTGTTTAATGGTGTTAGTGTAGGTATTTCACTCTTGATGGCAGCAGGAGAATCAATTAAAACAGAATGAGATTAAATTGTTTTTAATGATGAATGCATCATTGTGTGTTCAATGAGTAAGGTTAAATGTAAATATTGCAAGACATCTAGTGTCATTCAATGTTTGTGACAGTTGCTGGTGGCAAATTTATGAACAATTTTACATTGTGCCCTTTTAGTATGTAACACTTCCCAGTGTGCAAGGAATAATTCACAAAGGGGGTTGCACATTTAAAGTGTATCTATTCTGCAAAACAGGAATAAATCGCGTTTAGTTACAGCTCTCGTGGTTATCACACACCATCACTCACGGGGAAGTCTCGCTCTCAAAACTCACACGAGGCTTAACACGTTTTAAACATTACATTGTAAACATGCAAATATTACATTATAAACATGCAAATATTCTCATAGTTCAGCACGAACTAATTAACAATATATCTGCTATATATTCTCTATAAACAACACCCGTATAAATGACCACGTGAACTCATTAACACACGTGCAAACTCACTAATCAACGCATAGCACGGTTAATATAACATATATATGATTCACACTCTATGGCATGCAAACACTTCGGGAATATACACAAACATTAATACACAAGTCTCACAAACTTTCAACCAGCTTACCTGCAAAACAGGAATAAATCGCATTTAGTTACAGCTCTTGTGGTTATCACACACCATCACTCACGGGAAAGTCTCGCTCTCAAAACTCACGCGAGGCTTAACACGTGAGCTCGGTTCCATAACCAACACCACGCAACATCGCCGCCACCTACTGGTGCGCTATAAGACTGTAACATTTATCACTATATTATATTGAACATCACACAAACATTATACATGACTTATACATGACATTCTTGGAGTGCAATACTCAGTCATTGCGCTACACCCTCCCCTACTAATTTTAAAATGTTTACTACATTTAAGATTTGACTATCATTGATAATCAATTACTTTCGCAGCAAACACCTTATAATAATAGTGATGACTTAAATTTCAAACACTTGAAATACCCTCTACAATAGGTCAAATTAACCGTTGGATGCATTGTCCATTGTCGCACAATGATATTATATTTCCAGCAACAGTAAACACTTCTCGCTTATACACCTTCTTTTGTAATAGACTCCCCATTACGGCCAGACAATTCTTTAGTCTACTACCCATCCTAGTTTACTTTGTAGAGTAAGTCAACAATGTCCTTAGTTGCCTATGTTCAGCAGTTGAAACAGATCAGTTTTTTTCCTTTCCACATCTATCATTGTCCATCAAAACATTCGTTTCCACACCAGTCCTGATCAAGTGTGGCCAATCAATGTAAGTTTAGCTGGTAACCAACATTGTCCATGGTCGCCACAGTCCTTGGACAGCAGCCTCTCTACTCACATTTAGTCTATCTATTGCAACTTCCACCTAAGATGGCTGACCCAATGAGTCATAAGTCAGAGTCTTTGGACGACGGCGTTCTCTCCTTGGATAAGAATTGAAAGGTGTAGAGTCATCATCTTCGCTCTCAACTGATGCTTGTTCTTCCGATACCCCCGACTGTTCCGCAGACATTCCAAGATACTCTTCCATCCGCTCCTCTGGCCCATCCTCTGCTATCTCCTCCTCTATTCTCTGTGACTCTTGCTCCCAGTGCTGTTCCACATTTGGCGTGAACGGTTCTACATCCGAATTGAGACGAACAGACTTCCGGCACTGCCTCAAGGAAGTAGGAAACTGTAGTACTAGCTCACCATCTTGAAAATCCTCGTTCTCTGACATATCACTCTGACCTTCTTCCATGCATTTTCTGTCTTTTCTGTTGTGGTGTTGCTTCGGAGTTCTCCAATGGCAAACTATCACAAGGGAGAAGTAGATTCCGATGTAACACTCTTTTACCTCCTCCTTCCGGTACGACTTCATACACCGGACTCTCATCACTCCTTCTTTTTACAATCACGTACACTCTGTTTTCCCAGTACGATCTGAGCTTACCGGGTCCTCCTCGCTCAGATTTCGGACCAGCACTCGTCCCCCCGGCTGAAGGTCAATTCCATGAATTCTTCTGTCATACCCCTGCTTACTCCTTGAGGTTTCCCTGTTAGCTGTTCTGGAGGCAATCTCATAAGCTTGATGCATCCTCGTTTGCCAGTTCTACACATACTCAGCATAATTCTCATTCCCTTCTGCTGGCCGTAGGTTGAAGAGCAGATCGATTGGCAGATGTGGGGAACGACCATAAAGCAAATAGAAAGGGGAAAAACCGGTGAGCTCACAGCGAGTACAGTTATAAGCGTGAACCATCTTCTCCAGTGACTTTCTCCATTGAGTTTTATCTGTATCTGGGGTGCGCAGCATAGACAGTAATGTTCTGTTGAAGCGCTCTACCTGTCCATTTCCTTGTGGATGATAACAGGTAGTATGAGACGCTCGCACATCACAGCACTTCTGCAGTAGGTACATCAACTGGTTCTCGAATTCCCTACCCATATCATGGTGAATCTTTTCTGGGAATCCGAAACGTAAAACAAAATCATTAGGTTCAGGTTCAGGTTTATTGATATAGCCCATTTCATACACAGAACGGTAACCCAATGTGCTTTACATAATAGCAATTACACAATAACATTAGCAATAAAAACATGTTAAATCACAGGGAACATAATACACAAAATTAAGAGCTTAAAATAAAAACATAATAGTTCACAGGGAACATAATACACAAAATTGAGAGCTTAAAATAAAAACCGTACAGACCACAGGTACAAGAGAGGGTTAAAAGAAAGCATTATAAAAAAGTTTTGTTTTTAGTCTGGATTTAAAAAAGTTTTGTTTTTAGTCTGGATTTAAAAATAGAGACAAGACAGTAGGAGAGGTCTTAATGTCTACAGGAAGACGGTTCCAAAGACGGACCGCATAACTAGAGGTCGACCGATAGTGGATTTTACCGATAACGATAGTTAGGTTGGGCCATACTTGCCGATAACCGATTAATCAACCGATAGTTTTTAAAATTGATAATGGATAAAAACAAACATAACACTCCAAGTAAAACAGTGCTGAACTTTATTATAAAAATAAAAAAACTGTATTGAACCATGAAAACATGCTAAATGAATTAAATACATAAATATAAATAAATAGTCAATAAAAGACATTCATTCAAACTGAAACAAAAAGTAATACTCTAAATAACAAATAAAACCAGTTACATTCAAAATGTAACTGTTTAACTTTTATTTTTCAAGCCAACTTAATGAATAAAAAAGTCAAACAATTTGAACATGTGAAACAGTTGAAACTAGTCCTGTTAGCTAGAACTACAATACAATAGATTCAAGTTTAACATGGTCCAGTTCAAGTTCTAGTTCCATTTTAATATTCAAAGTTAAGAAACTTCAAATTATAATGGAGAAAGCAGAGTTGGTGTGCATGGTGTCCAGTCAGTCTGCTCCTCTTGGCGTCATAAATCATGCCAATTTCACTGAACACCCTTTCACTAGGCACAGTGGATGGTGGGGGGCACAGGAATTTCTTGGCCAGAAGTGCAAGTGTTTTAAATCTTGTGTCATTTTTCTGCCACCACTGCAGAGGCATGTCACTTCTTTCAATGACAGGCTCTGACAAATAGCACTCAAGCTCACTCTCAAAGCTGTTCATGTTGTTCATCCCCCGAGACACAGCTGTGGCACCAAGGACCCTGGCATACAGGGTGTCCAGTAAAGTGGGCTGATGGATTCTCTGCTTCTTTGTCTCTGGATCCAAACCCTCATCCTGCTCAGGTCCTTCTGGTGCAGGGCTCGGATCTTCTTCTCTGAGCTCGCCAAGCTCTTCTTCAGCTTCCTCCTTTAGCCACAGTTTTCCTTTCTCAAGTGTTTCTTCAGACGCAAAGGCACGGGCCTTGTATCTAGGATCAAGGAGTGTTGCTAGGACCAGAACCTTTGTCTCTTCTGCCTTGGAAAACCGCTTTGTCAGGCTGTCAAGCATGGTCTTGCGCAAAGTTTTGATCCCTACTGATGATGGACCCTCTGCTTGCAGCATCAGCTTCAGAACAGACACACTGGGGATAATGCATCCTGCTGAAGACTCAGAGTTGCTCATCTCCATTGTGACTTCTTCGATGGGAACCAGTGTGTCAATAAGGTTACTGACAATGTCCCACTGTGTGGCAGATAAGCCACTGATATGCCCATGTTCACCAGAGTACACATTCAGTGCCCGTCTCTTGTTCATACATTCTTTGGAGCATATGAAGTGTTGAGTTCCATCGAGTC